ACATTGCGCACATGAAACATGTCAAGCGTCCCCCCTTCCCTTGCTCATTCACTTAGCAACCACAAATTAGGCATAATTCATGCTACTCTCATGCCATCTGAAGGGTTGACATGATACCCCTGTAGTCAGGGCGTGAAAACTAATCATGTAACTGACCTGCCGATCATCACTTTGCCATGTCATGATGGTGACTAATTAACAACTCCAAAATGTGAACACGTCAGTGATACACCATTGAATAGACGGCTATCAAAACAATTCTCCATCTCTAATTCGTTGGTGGGCAAAAGTCACTGGTCCACTCCTCCATTTACTCATTTCTCAACAAGCGATTTCGCGTTCATCTGCCATTTCCTTTTCCTCTAGAGTTAACTATTATTTTTGATGTCATTTCTGCCTGAACTTCAGCCGTGAACAGATGAATGTGGTTGTACAGAAAACTGCGTCATCTCTGTGTTTGCAAACCTGCGTGTTGATGACCCACACCTTCATCACGTGTACAACATAACTTCCAACACGAGTTAACACCTTGCAGTTTGTGCCAATATTTATCATGTTTACAAACCTTCATGGTATGTCGCCTTGACATTCGTGGTGATTATCATATCACCATCAGCGATTTGCTTCCACAAACATGTGGTGCTACAAGTGAGTCGAAGGATACTCTGCACTCGTTCCTCTGCTCGCACCTCATTGTGCCTCACTTGAAGAATGTCCAACCAATCTGCACGACACCGCTTCGTGATATTTCCGCACATCTATTTACCATAAACAACATCTCTTCTCGGTTTCTTTGTCAAATCACACCTTGTGATGGAATTCATTCACCTACTCTACTTCGGAATGACACAGCATGCTATGCTTCCTGTCTTGGGCGTTAAACTCACCAAATTGATGATTTTTATGACAATACCATGCCACTTAATGACGTACAATGTCCAAAGTCTTCATAGCAATGAGGGTGCGTACCCGGTTTGTGGTAGGTGAAAGCGGCTGTAGCCTTCAACATTCCTCTCAAGTCTGCTTGGTATCCATACCTCCAACTGAAATGACTTTCATTGGTTACTGCACCATCATGCATTCCCCTCGGTCTACTTCGGCTCCCCTTTCATTTTGCATCGTTTCTGAGACAACGCAACCATCTCCTACCCTCTCAACCTCAACAAACTACTTCGTGCTTTTACCTGCATACGAACTACGTAGGAAATCCTTTTCAGAGTTCTTCCTTTCTAGGATTTTGTGTGCACCACTTCTTTCAATTCAACATCAGCTTCCATCACGGATCTCTCATGGGCATCGACAGATATCAGTGCAGTGTTCTAGCATAGCGTTCTTCGACTTCCTCTACCCATTTCACGACATTTGCTCCCACCAATGCGGTCATGCACAAACACAAAGAGGGAAATCTCACAGCGTCAATAGTCAACCAGACCACCGCACAGCTATATGCTCAGTAGTCACCCCATCACCATCACTGACAACAAAGTCCTCTAATACGTTTTCAAACCTTACAAATAGTAGGAGCAATGACCTACTGCAGTGCTTTCACGGTGGACTATTTCACCACATGCCCAATCCTACCATGCTCAATAACACAATGCCACTTCCAATCCACATGCTTAAAATCTGTCCTCAAGCACTACCGCTGAAGCAGTAGGCAAACATGATGTCCCCTTTGTGTAGCCATTGCTAATTCTACGGGATAGTCGCATTTGTGTCACAGATATCACAGTTATCCACTGGTTAAGCTGAATACAAGGGTTAGCTATAACCCTATGCAAGCCACCAAGTCTGTCAATGCTGGAATATGTTGCGAAAAACTCCCGTTTGCTATGCTGAGTTAAGTGACTGTTTACGCATGACAGCGGCACCGTTTTGGCCACATTCGATACGTCGCGAATCTCATTGGCCAATTCACGTCCAACTGCAACCAATCACAGGCCTCTAACACCAATCCCCCCCACACCAATGTCTTGCTCCCCCCTCCACCCTATATGACTGCTCATCTAATTGGTCCAAATACTGCTTATTAGCAGACATGACACCACCGTTATCACTCAGCTAATCAACATGTCACAATTAACAAGAATGCAAGGCAGTGCAGAGAAGAATGGTGGTGAGGCCCCAATGCATGAAAACAACGCCACTTTAAACTCAGCTCGAGGAGGCCGTCGTCATCATTGCAGAAAACGTCCACATACCACACCTGGTAAGTAACTGCATCTGCACTTTCCTTGCTTAAGTCGTTATTTCCTCCAAATTTGCACATTGTCTATCGCAACACTTAGCCTCTTATCTCGACTCCCGCATTTCATGCCATCGTGACGGTCGTAGTGATGATACTGTTGCCCTGACACGTCTGCCTACTTGCGCATTTCCAGCATGCTTGCTGAATTGGATAATCTCATTTTCAATCACCCTATGGACGAAGTGCAATCCTTAGTGCTAGTATATATTTGAATGAAAATTTATGCAATATTGAAAAGTGTGTTTCTGTCGTGATCGAATTCCTACTTTGACATACTGCGATTCCACTTCTAGCCAGTCCTGCTGCACTCTACTTCACTATTCGTTATCATAATAGTACCTACTAGGAGAATTCAATAACAGGGGTGGTAGCTGATCAAGTGGTGGTTAACATTTCCTCATTGTCTCCTTTGCATTCCTGCTCTTCACATTAAGGTATGCCAAGGCATTCCACGTCAGGGGAAGAGGATAAATCAGCACGCAGAACAGAACCACATCCGCAGGTCACCTCCACTCAAGGTATTAACAGCAGTCACCACATTGCAAGCACTGCTGATTCGCACAGCAAAAAACGCTGCCCACCATCTTCTTCCGGATCCCACCATCTCTACCCCGTGCATCAGCCGCCATCTCAATTCAATTCCACCTCTCATCATTACGCACACTCTCCCTCACACATGCAATCCAGTGACCCCTCCCACGTTTACCATCGTCCCACCCATCACCCATCATCCAACACCACATCTGACGTCCATAACTACAGAAATGCATTTCCACACGTGTCATCCTCACTACACCTCCACAACAACACATCAACTACCGCCTCTCACTCCAGCTCCTGTCCAATGATTCGACAGCACTCTCCACTCAACTACCACTACAATCTCACTTCGCGCTATCCTGTGTACATCCCCAAAACTAAGCGCCAAATTCGTGATGCCAAATTAGTCACAATGGATTACGGGCATCAGTGACAAAGCGGATGTTTAAGTGGTGTGGTTAAGTGGAGGCATCCTTTCCCCTCTCCCCCTTGCAGCACTTCTTCTGTGTAATAAATGTCTACTACCTTTGACTCCTATCC